TGACTAAGCTCTCGTGTTGCCCTTGGGTGTCAAGAGTGGCGTCGATCATTGACATTTTGTGTTTGTTGGTATTGGGCCCACAATCTGCTGATGACAGATTGAGGAACGTGCAGAGTTTGGGCAACAATATTCTGATGTGTGCCCACCTGCAGCATATCTATGTCACATAAATGTTTAGCACGTTGCAAACGTAGCATGATCAATGCTGTTGCTTCCTTAATTAATTAATGTGTTTAATAAAGCACCTTTGAGCGTTTGGTAACAAGAAAAGTGTCTGCTCACAACCCAGTCTAAGTGACAAGGGTAAGTCTGGCGTATCACCCCTTGCACGTGCATGAGGTCACATGCTTCATGACTGTCACAATGTTTTCTGTTTTTCCTGTTTTCATCGCCAGAGAGTGGTGTAATTTCCGAAAGTTTCGCCTCAAAGCAAAATATCCCCTTCCTTCTTTGCATAGTATATTTTATATCAAAAGACACAAGTATATCATATATCAAGAGTTTTAGACATTGATGAGGGGTGATATATTTGATATCAAATGACACAAGGTCTGTTAAGCGTTGGGATGCAGTTTCATTCTGTTACCAGATTCACCCCGATTGTGTTCATAGGTTTGTCAGCTTGTGGTCTTCAACAAAGTAGTAAATATCTGAGACCTGCATGGCTTCTGGCTTATCTCCCACATCAAGATGACATGCCATAATATAACTGAAATCCCATTCAAAGTGGTGTTAAACCAAGCTTGCTCCCTCTCTCTCTCCCTTTCCCTTGATGTCCTTAGCTGTGCCTGAGATTCAGGCCATATTTCTGCGCTGGCATGCTCAGTTCTAACCAAGTGGAATAAAATGAGGAAAATAAATCACCATATTCCCCTTTTATGTGATATACTTGACATTATGTTATTCCCTCTCAGATGACCCTTTTGCTGAAGGTTGGTCAGGCTGCTGACTTGGTTGATGCATGTCATCGATCCCAATTGTGTGGATCGATGCTCATGATGTCAATCACGGGATTGTCTGGTCCAGACTCGATTATTTACAGACCGCCATCATATAGCTGGAATATTGCTGAGTGCGGCGTAAAACAACAAACCAACCATCTTTTGCTGAACATCATACCAACTTGTCTGTCACAAAATGGCGATACCCAGGAACGTTTTTTTCAAACAGCACATCCTGCTTCTTTATGAAGGGGTAGATTTAACAACAAATTTGTATGTAGCCAATTACATTGTAACATCATATATAAAGAACGGATTCTTTATTTCTCTTCCTGAATTGCTTACTATTGCAATTTCAACTTTGATATTTGTTATGCTTAGTTCGTTTGGTTTCATCAATATTTCATTTCTAGCACTGTATGAACTGTATGTGTGTGCATGCAAACAATCTGTGCTAAATGACGCTCACAGACAAAATGATGGATTTATGACTCTGTCCGGGAAATGAATAGGGCATTGAATGTTTGATAACCTAATGATTGGAGAATTGGACATCATTTCCCAGATGGCCCTGTGCCACGCCCATCCACAGCGCATCCACCCCGCAATCAATAATCTCTTTTATCTTACCATTAATGTTTAAGTTTGGTAAATTTGTGTAACAATACGACATGGTGTTGCACTACCTATTGTTCTGCGGAGTGTTTGCACATGAAAGTCATGGTGACTGATAAATGCCAGATTTGCTCTGAAATCCTATGTAATTGAATGAGAAAAGAGGATTAAAAAATGTTGAACATTTTGTGCTCTGGAATCCATGGCAGTGTGATCCTCCGGATTGGCGACAGAGTCTCTGTGCAGAAGTATCGTCTCGTTGATTATTTCCTATTAGTGATCATTGATGGTTGATCACTTATGATGGGATTTGTTGCATAGAACATTTGTGAACTTGGGCACAGAGGCATTAATCTATACTTTGATGTGCTGATTGGGTTTCGTTCTGGTCACCACTATACAATCAATATTATCACTCGATTGGGTTCTGTTGCGGAGAGCAGTTGCCAGGAACTCGTTGCTTCTGTTTTGGAAATTGTTAACAGTGACATAATGAAATGTTGAACCTTGGCTTCTGGACTCGCTTGCCACAGGTAAGACATGTTCCTCATGTACAGGTAGGATGTGGAAGAACAAGTCTGTCAACCATGGATTGATTTTGTCTTGGTCGGGTTTAGGCCATCAACAGTACCTCTTGTTTGTTTTCAACTGTATGTCTATGTCATGTACATCAATGGTTCATGGTTTTTTTAAATGAAGTCATTATTGTTTCATGAATATGAAGCCAGTTTTTGCTGTATCAACATCTTATCTTGGCTGCGTGTATTTTATGCTCGACCTGCTGTATCTATCATCCTACCTGAAACCTTGTCCTCTGAAGAGACATACACGTGAATACACAATGAATGGGGGCAAAGGTGGCCCAACCATCTTAAGGCCCAACAATTCACAGTGCTGAGTTGGGTCCTTTGGGCACACCAGAAATCTATGATTGTGGGTTCAAATCCCAGTTCACCCTGATTTTGTTTCTTGGTTTGTCAGCTTCATATGTGTGTTCATTGGTATCACTGAAGTGGAAAATGACTAAAACCTGCATCGTTCTGGAATCTCCTCCCACTTGAAGCTGACATGCCGTCATATATAAATACTGTTGTAAAAGATGTAAACCTCACTCACTCACTCACTCACTCACTCACTCACTCACAAGTTTAGAAGCCTGCAACAGGGAGAATTTAGTGACATGATGAGACGTAAGCTTGATGGAACAGTCACGTGACTGCTGCTGTCAATATGGAAAACTAAATTGCCTTTGTCCAACAAAACAATTCTAGCTACCAGTTACCAGGTTCTGATATAGTAACATCTCATGTATGGTTGAACACGAACCTTATTGTTCTTTTCCCCATGTGTACAGTATCTGCAACGCAGTACCACATGTTGGATGACCTTGAGGGATCACTGTGACCTTGTTGAATTTGGTGTTTTGAGGCAAAAAGTATGCCATGAATGTATGTGTTATTCTTTGTCATGTGGAAAATATCATGTGTATCAAGAACAGGTGTCTCAAGAACAGGTGTTGACGATCATAACTACTTTTTTGGGTGTTTGCATGTTCAGGTGATGAATAATTAATGAAATGAATAAACATTAATTGCTTCCATGGGAATATTTGCAACATAGGGATATGATCATAAAATGTTAAGCTGATGCTGTGCTGTCATGTGTGAACCTTTGTGTTGGAGGTGAGTGTTGTGTGTTGGGTGAGTGGTGTGTGTGGGGTGAGTTAGTGATGGTGTGTGTGAGGGAGTTAGTGATGTGAATGGTGAGTTAGTGATGGGTGTGAGGTGAGTTAGTGATGTGTGTGTGAGGTGAGCTAGTGATGTGTGTGAGGTGAATTAGTGATGTTGTGTGTGATGTGAGCTAGTGATGGTATGTGTGAGGTGAGTTAGTGATGGGTGTGAGGTTAGTTAGTGATGTGTGTGAGGTGAGGTTAGTTAGTGATGTGTGTGAGGTGAGTTAGTGATGTTGTGTGAGGTGAGTTAGTGATGTGTGTGGGGTGAGTTAGTGATGTTGTGTGTGAGGTGAGTTAGTTATGTTGTGTGTGAGGTGAGTTAGTGATGTGTATGAGTTGAGTTAATGACAATGTGTGCAAGGTGAGTTAGTGATGTCTGTGAGGTGAGTTAGTGATGTGTGTGAGGTGAGTTAGTGATGTGTGTGAGGTGAGTTAGTGATGTGTGTGAGGTGAGTTTGTGATGTTGTGTGAGAGGTGTTAGTGATGTGTGTGAGGTGGACGAGAGGTCGGTCACATGACCGCAAAATTGACGTTCATAAGTGTATGAACGACACAATTTGACGTTCATACGTTTTTCGTCAGACCATGTTCTTGAAATGACGTAAACACTGACGGACTACTTCCACATTCCTCTGGAAACCCATGGGAATTGCCTAGCACGAAAACATACATAATCGTTCTTTCTGATCATTTAGAACCTATATTCTTGGTCTCAGCGTTTCAGTATACATTGAGAAATGTTAGAGAGCGTGACTGCATGATTGTTCACGAATATCCTCGCTGCGGATCATCCAAATGAACAAACGAAGAAATGCTCATCTAAACTATCGTAGTATCGACTCAATCCGTAGAGCAATCTATGAATTTACCTTTGTGTCTGTTTGACGCTTCTTTATTCACCTTTCAATGATCGGCCAGTTGATCAATGATAACTAACACATGTAACCGCCACAGGTTCAGTAACAACTTCGGAAATCTCTCCCGTCACGTTTATCGTGACGGCCAATTTTGACGTCTTGTACTTGATGTAAATGTATTACGACTCGCTGTTATTGTGACTGACTTACTGAGGTAGTTCTTTACGGACCTCTCTCATCTAATGAGGATATGATTTGAATACGTGTTGTGTAAGATGTTTCTGAAGAGCAAGTTGTGCATCCATACGCTCATGTAACCTCTCTTTTTGAGGAACTATTTTATTCCGCGATATAGCTGGTTGTTGTATGGCTGTCAGTTTAAACATAGTCTCATGTACTAAATAAAATTGTGTTGAGATCTTGGCTTACATCCTTTGAGGTAAGAAATTGTGATAAATGTCGCAAGCTCCAACGTTCATACAGTTTGGCCCTCACTCTATGAAGGTTCATACTCCAATGAACTCACACAAAGTGAAGGTCAATTCTTAAATGTGTTTAGTTATGATGTGTGAGTTGTGTTGAGTCGTGATGTTCATTTTGGTTCAGATCTTTACCCAGTGCCCTTTGCTGAGTCGTGGTCCAGTGTAATATACTGTTAGGTTATGTCCCTTTGTCATTCCAGGATCTGCTGATACCAGTGATCCCAGATAATTATGTCAACAGCATATCAGTACCTTTACTCGTTGGTTTCCCCAAAGTCATCATCCATATTCCATTCATTCAATATATTGAATGGCAAAATTGCAAACGCTTTAATGATGAATATGTTGTTCATGTGTATGTCTTCTTTTTCAGAAATGGCAATCTTGCAGAACAGATAATACGAAGATGGGGCAGAGGTGAAAGCAACACCCTCCTCTCCCCATGACCACAGATCTGGACAGCCAAACCAGCTCATCTTACTGACTGACAAGCTCCACAGCCAAACCAGCCTGTCTATCTGACCAAAACCACTGGACCAATATATTCATTTATATATAACAAAGTATATTTTCCCTAGATTCTTATCTTATAACACTATTTTGTACATCAGCTACATATCTTTACATAAGAAGCATTTAATCAACAATTTACACATAGATAAGAAACACATCACTAAGATAAGTGAAGGGTTTCCTGTTACTTCGTGACACAAAAGTGTGACAAGCGTCCCGAAATACTGGAATCCCCAGACGGTGCAATGTCTACGGTGTACACAGTACGTGAAAGCTGGGGTGGTCCGAGTGGCCTTGACCCCCAGGTCAGCTTCGAGAGTTCCAACAGCGGGTACTCCATTAGCAGTCAGACTCAGTTCCTCAAAGGGAGGACGGAAAAAGACGACTACATCGAGTGTAAACTCCGCAGAGAAACAGGCAGCAAGGACAAGAACCTAAGCAATGAGTGCGGAATTGGTACTATCCGACCAAAGTGTTTAAAACATTGCGCCAATATCAAATTGTTTGTGTTTTTCATGTGTGTGCTTCTAACGATTGCTACAAGCTTATCGACTGGCTACCTGAACAGTGTCATAACGACGATTGAGAAGAGGTTTGAGATCGGCAGTTCAATATCAGGGCTTATCGCAGCTTCGTATGAATTTGGGTCCCTAGTTGCTGTTATTTTTGTAAGTTATTTAGGCGGCAGGAGACATATACCAAAATGGATTGGCTTCGGCATTATTTTCATGGGAATCGGGGCACTACTTTTTGCAATGCCACATATCATTGGGCCAAAATACACCGTCCACAATGGCTATGATGTGTCGAATAAGACTGATGTCAGTATTTGCAAGCGTCCAGAAGCAAATAAAGGAGGTTATTTTTCAACAGATTGTATAGATGAGAATTCTGGGAACTGGATGTATGTGTTGATACTGGTTGTGGCACAGATATTTATTGGGACTGGAGGCACACCAATTTTGACCCTTGGAACGACTTATGTTGATAATCACGTAGTCAAGGAAAAGGCACCCGCTTACCTAGGTAAGTTGATTTTATAATTTTCATTTGCTTTGTAACCATTGTAACACAAATGATTTTGATTTCCATAAAATGATTCATCAGTTGCAGTGTTCAAAATCAAGCCAAGGTGTCTTTGTGATATGCCCAATGTCATCTTCCCAAGGTAATTGAGTTACTGACTATAAAAGTCCAGTTTCCACGAGCGAGGCAGGATTTTCTGGGCTCAGTCGTAGAGCTTTTACGAATTTTGTCCCTTCTATGTCCCTCCTATTGACCAATCAGATTCCACCTCTCATGTCACTTGCATTTGCTTCAAGCAAAGACGATATGATCCGTGATCTAGATCTATTTGCATCAAATCCAGGAGCACCTTGATTACAATGATTTGGAAAATATCTGTTGAAGCCCAGTTGATGGTACACATGCTTTGCAAATCCTGCAGTCGACGGAAATCTGCACATTGAAATCCATGCTGTTTATTTCATTTCACAATTTTGATTGGACTATGTGTACACTCGTTAGTCCAGCCAAAATTTAACTCCGGAATTCCAGCCTAGTTTGGCAAGGGTGGAAACTGGACTTTTGTAGTCAGTTAACTGCCCAATGTTGGAAGTAAAACAATAAGGGCCTCCCTAGATTCAGAGACTAGCAGTAGAACTCAAGGACGCCAGTACCCTAGTTCATTTCGAACACTGAGTTGTATAAGGCTGAAAGATTCTGATTCATCGGTGCATGTGATTTCAATCATGTGATACAAGACATGCATTTGTATTTAGAAAATAAGTAACAAGCTATGAGGTACTACAGATTATATGTCCCGAGTGAATGAATGGTGTTAATTGCGAGCTTTGGCAAGGCTGTCCTTCACCAGGCACAGATAATCCGTAATTCAGAGTTTCGAGTAGGTATTTCTATTTATCATCCAAAACTGGTTCCCACATTGTAGATATCGCTGCAATGAAATTGCATCACAATGCTTTACAGACCATTGTGACGTCTTGGTAACCATGACATGACAAACAAATGACATCACTAATGGCTCTGCTATTGAAGCTGTTAGCAGTACTTTTTACACTAAGACACTGCTGATTACTGTCTACAAACTGAAAAAGTTGGAAGAATGATGTTGGATGATAAATAAAATCTCACCCTCATAGCTTTTGATATCAAATATATCAAGTATTACCCATTGACAAGAGAGAGAAAAAGAAGGAAGAAAAGCATAAAATCTCAACCCCTCAGAGAAACTTCATTGAAAACAACCTGTTGTTCAGATGGCGTAAAGTAATCAATTTGTGACACCATGAACTCTGGATGACATCATATATTTTTCTCAGCACTGAAGTACTGTGGTGTCATATGGCTTCAAATGACCAATCTTCTATGAGAATCGGTGACATGCCTATGAGCAAACATCAGAAAGTTATTGTCCATGATCATTCTACCCTTATGGGTAATATGTAGATTATTGAACTTCATGATTGTCTGGAAACTTTGAAATTTTAGCTTTATCGTATGTAGTAGATAACTGTGTCTGATTGTGAGACTGTTTGTCTTTAAGTAACAGGAATATCAAAAAGCTAAAGTGATTTTTAGAAAAGAATCGGCTTTTGTTTTTCTGTTATGTCAAAATTAGTGTCTATTTACGTAAGTTTTCCCCCGACACTGTTGATTGTTTTTTATTGTACGGTTCGCAGAGTGTTGTGATGCACATTCTTGGTATATCATCCACTCATATTTCCATTACTCGTGGATTGGTCATCGGGTCCAACTGACTCATACATACTTATTGAAATTGAAAACGGTAACGTCAAGTAGGTTCTGTAACACATTACATTTCGATTCCTGATAATGCTGATGCTGTCAGTTGTTAATGGTTAAATAATGTTTCTTTCTGAAAGTGACTTTAGCGTTTAGCAGCTATTTGTTCATGTTTTGTTGATACAAGATGTCATATTAATTTTTTTTAAATTACCAATCCTTTGAAAGTTGCATTGCAGGAAGAAAGCTAATAATCATTTTCCCATTTGACACTGTTGAGATAGTGAAACAAACAGATTAGAATTGAAAAGTTTATAAAGAGGAAATAGCCTAAGTGTGGGTTATGAGGTACAGAACAAGCTTTGACTGGAATCAGAAGCCCCGTAGACGACATACATGTGGAACTTGGGGTAGGGTGGATGGTCATATGGTATTGGGTAGCCTAGTTGTTCAAGTGTTTGCTTGTCAGGCCAAATGCCTGGGTTTGAGTCCCCACATGGGTGATACACATTAATGTGTGAAGCCTGTTCCTGTTGTCACTCCCAGGGGCGGTCGGTAGCCTAGTGGTTAAAGCATTCGCTCGTCACGCCGAAGACCCGGGTTCGATTCCTGACATGGGTACAATGTGTGAAGCCCATTTCTGGTGTCCCCCGCCATGATATTGCTGGAATATTGCTAAAAGCGGCGTAAAACCAAACTCACTCACTCACACACTCACACACTCACACACTCACACACTCACACTCACTGTTGTCACTTGCCATGTTGTCATGGCAATGGCTGCCATATTGCTAAAAGCAGCATAAAGCCATACTTACTCGCACACCCACTCACGGCCCTATTGTAATTAACCTATCCCATAGAATTCACACACTTCACTTTATCACTTGAGCATGTTTGTTTTCCAGTGACACCTAGATACTGATGAAACAAACATGGACAAACATTGCCTTACCTGAGTCAATATTGTCACGCAAGTAGTTAATCAAAACATTCGTAACCATCGGCATGATGAGACCGCCTCCGTGATCTAGTAGACAGAGCTTCTGCCCGGAGACCGGAAGGTTGGTGGTTCAGTCAGAGGCCACATCCTAGCGATAGACCTTTAAAGATGGTACTTGTTGTTTCCCTGTCTGGCGCTGGGCATTAAAGGGATAAATCAAGGTATACTCTAGTATTGGTGAGTCAGTGTAATGCGTTTGTGTGGGTTAAAACTGTGGCATCATGGTATCTCTGTGGGCTGGCACTATAAAAGCTGGATTGGCCTAGACTACACATGCACGTCACTATGTAAGTGCAATAATGCGATGGTAGACCCTATTTCACCTCACTCCCCCTCACCTCATAACTAGAACCCTGAATATCCGGGTTGGAATAGGTCTTCAGCAACCCTTGCTTGTCCTGAAAGGCGACTATGCTTTTTGTAAGAGGCAACTAATGGGATCAGGCGGTCAGGCTCGTTGACATGGTTAATGTCATTGTATCCCAATTGGGTGGATCGATGCTCATGATGTCAATCACTGGATGTTCTGGTCCAGACTCGATTATTTACAGACCGCCATCATATAGCGGGAATATTGCTTAGCATGCTTAGTGCAGCATTAAACAACAAACAAACAAACTAACAAACAAACAAACAAACAAAGCCTTCCTAACCATCGAGGACATGACCATAAATGGCGTTGATTGTGACCATGTATATCTTCTTCCTGATACCAAGCACTTTTTGGCAAGTTATCATGGAACAGTCAAGTCTTCCGCCACTGAGACAAAGTAAACAGACATCCATTGTTTCTTGTCTTGGCTTGAGAGCAGACTTGTATGATGCATGTGTTCTTTAAGCACTCTTTTCTTCTCGCCGGAAGTTTGATCAATAATTGATGCACAAGGCTCCTGTGAATGCAGACCATATGGGGATGACGCTTCATCTTATCTTGCTCCTGGCAAATTATTGACAAACTTGGTTATCATTTCTTTTTCAAAGCTAATGATAGTATGCTAAAGAGCACCCCCAGATATTCTCTAGTCAATAGATCAGATGTTTGTGTTTTCAATCTACTTTTTTGAATGTTGAAGTATATTTTTAATATGACATCACTAAATTCAGTTTGAAACTAAATACATAGGATGCCAACAAGATTGCTCCATAAGTCCTGGAATTATTTTCTGCTAACAACATAATATTGCCATTGTTACTAGGTTACTGAAATTTGTTATGTGGAATGGAAAATGAGTTTGGCCTAATGAGTAGTCATTGTGGTATTTTTTTGGTCAACATTTTCAATTTATTTGATCACCCGACTGAAATTAAAGTGAGTTTATGTTGTGTTTTGCCCTTTGTTTGTTAGAACTGAAAATATCTTCTCCAAATCAACTGAACATATCAATATCGTTTTCACATAACATTTTCTGCATGTGCCTAGCTACAATGGAATAATCTTTTCATTTTGAAAATTTCAAAATGGCCACCACAGCATTATTTGATTTTTGGAAATGTTCCCTTAATCTATTTACAAGCAATCTAATATTCATTTATTCCGATGAAGTAGTTTATTGCTCAGAATTGATATTTTCATTGTTTGACAGTTTACCATTTACCATTTATTTAAGCAGCGATCATAAATAACACAAGGTAAACTTATGTGAAGGCTGATGAGGATATTTTTAAAACTTTAAGATTTATGAAAATGAACAATATTGTGTCCAATTATCACGATTATTGTGTGTTTTTTTGTCTTTTGTACAATATAACTAGTTTAATACATTCTCACCCATTAATGCTTTATCACTAAGTAAAGGTGAGCTTCTGTACCTGTGGTACTCATATTTTAATTATGATTTATAGATTTTTGCAAATCAATAAGATTGGGTTTGGACAAATTATTTTATTTTTTTGTGAAGCCCAACATGTTCATATTTTGTTTGCATAAAGTTGTTTGTATGGATTGGTTTAGTTGAGTGTTGATACTGTTTGAAGTGCAGGATGTTTAGCGTGCTTACAGCAGCATGGCTACATTTACTTTTGAGAAGGCTTAGATTTCCTTATGAGATCATTGCTGTTGCCAGGGATCACATACAATGCATATGATCAATTAATATTTAAAAATAGTTACTTTTTGAGTGAAGTATTAGTTGTTGTGTTTTATGTTTCTAATACATCAAGGATTGAGTGGTCAGACAAATGTATATAAATTTAAACTAATGCTTTTTGCTCCAGTCAGTCGAATCTGCCTGCCTCTCCCCACCACCCCAACCCCCAA